TTCTTTCTTTCTTTCTTTCTTTCTTTCTTTCTTTCTTTCTTTCTTTCTTTCTTTCCTAATTTGGCTGCCTACAGCTTCAGGATTCATGAGTGAAGATGAATACTTGGAGATCACCAGCATCACCCGGGAACAGTCAGGGGAGTACGAGTGCAGTGCGTCCAACGATGTTGCAACTCCTGTTGTGCGGAGAGTAAAAGTCACCGTAAACTGTGCGTAATACTGAACTTTTCTTGCCCCTTCAGCTCAGAGTAAGGAGGGTTCACTCCCTCTTTTTGATGAATATTCTGTTTAACCTTCAGGGGATTAATGAAAACATTCAGATGCTTTACCTTAAATCTGGTCATTACTCAATCTAACCAAGAATTGTTGGTTTTCATTGACAACTGCATTCTAAGATCTTGATCTTTCAGTCTTCTGGTTGCCTCAGTTAATGTTAACTGGACATTTTAAGAGACTGAATCCAGAGCTTTATTCATTAAAATGATGGGGTCCACCACTGAGCTATGAAGTCTTCTTAATGCATATTCATTGCAGTTTAGTCAACTGCTGGGAGGAGTCTTAAAACAGTCTTGTGACAAACTAAAGCATGTATTCTAGGGCGTGTATCCTTTCTCAAATTTTGCAATCTACAGATATATTGAGGTTGCAATTCTCAGTGTTTCTTGTTCACTTAATTGGTAGCCTTTCTTTGTATGCAGGGATACTGATATGCAGACAGGTATTCATTCATGCAGGCAAACCTACATTCATTTAGAGGTTAACATTATTGCTTTATATATTTGCTGTGACAGTGACTTACGTGCACTCACCTACATAACCATCCTCAGGACACACATCCCCTTGCACTCATAACCAAAGAATCTGAAAAGAAATGATGTATTGTCACTCTGTAGGTTACAGGTGTTTGTGGCCAAAAAGTATGAAACATGCCATGCCTGTGAGTGTGGATTGAATGTATCATTGACTATATCATCAAATTTGGAAGTTATTTCTTTCAGATTGGCTATAAAGCCATCTTTAGGTCACGTTCTGGGCACTGCTTTGCTGCACCAAATATTTTCTAAGAGCACCTGCAGATGAAACTCAAACTGCTGGTTGTGAGGCACCCAACAAGTGCGCAAAGAAAAGTTTTTGAGGCAATAACATGCATTCCATAGATGCCTAACTTGTTCCTTTCTCTGCAGACCCACCATATATCTCAGACACTAAGAATACTGGTGTGCCAGTGGGTCAGAAGGGTATCCTTCAATGTGAAGCCTCTGCAGTTCCATCAGCAGAATTCCAGTGGTATAAAGATGACAAACGGTACATGAATTACTTAAGGGGGGCATTGTGGGAAGTATCATCACAGCTGCTAAAACAGAAACGAGCTATTCCTTAAAAATCATGTAATTCTGCTACCATGTAAACAGAGGAATACAGAGGGAAAGGATGGTATGTGTGTTTGTATGCGTGTGTGTGTGTGTATGTGCACACTAATTTATGTCCATCACATAGGATCACACAATTGGAAATGGAGTCCATTGAGTCTAACCCTTGCTCATTGGAGGGATCCTGACAGATTGCTGTTAGCTTCTGCATGAAGCCATCCAGCAAAGGGGAGCCAATCACCTCCTTAAATGATTGGTTCTACTGTTGATCAGTCTTTTTTGGGGGGGAGGGGGGAACGTTATTCAGAGCATTCACTTGGAAACTGCCTTTTCTTAACTCATCCTTTGTTGTGTGTTCCCAACTTGCAGCTATTTTCATTCATCACTGATCAACCTTGTCTTGCTTCTTTCTGCCTTCCATATTCCCTTTGTTTAACTATCTATTGCTTTGTTCTCCTTGCTAGCAAAATTTAAATTGTAAGCCTCTTGGACTTGAGATTTTTATTTTTCCCAATTATATGCTATTCTGTAAAGAAGATTGATGGCGCTGGCATTTGAAAACGATTCTAGTAAATGGGAAGTACTCCTGTGCACATAGCACTGATCCTTGGCACCAAGATGCTGTTCTGTATATACAATCTGCAAATATTTTTAATAACAGTTCTCATTGTCAGGATTCATGCCAGAGATTCTCTGACATAATTCCTCCAAGATTCAGGCATAGAGATTATTTATCAGATATCCCAAGGCATGAAAAGGCATATGATCATCTGTTCCTGTAGTTCTCACAGGAGATGCTCAGAAACTGGGTCATTCTCCCCTCTTAATTATCACAGGGAGACAGACTATAGCATTCTGTTTAAAAACAACTGCGAAGATATTGTCCATCTGATGAAGACATTAGTTTAAGCTATCAGTCATGTGACAAGCTCCCATTATGGATAATGTAATCATGTATGACTACCAGGAGCTGCTTCTCAGGATCTAAAGCAGGCCAGGGCAGTGCTGCATAAAACAAGAAAGCACTGAAAGAAATCAAATAGGTAAAAATAAACAAAACAAAAGCAACACATAAGAATATCAGCCAAATGATGTAGCGAAGGAAGTAGGATGAAGGAACTAAGAGTATGGAAAAGAGAGAGAACCGAAGACCCTTGTAACTGCTGAATATAATACGGTTCTCCAGTTGCATCTCGCTGCTTTCACGGCCGGGTCTTTTTGGAGGTCATCGGTTTTAGTTTCCAGCCTGACCTGACAGATGTTGGGAGACATGATGCTGCAGTCCTCCCAGTTCCACTCCTCCTGATCTGCTTGCTTTCACTGTCAAGGCTGTCTTGTCTTGCCACCTTTTCCCTATCTATCAGGAGCAATAGTCCTGATTCAGGCGAAGGTAGAGTTGGGCCAAGATGTGGAGCTGTTGAGTCATCATGTGTGCTTTGCTATTGCACTACTACAACAGTCATTGGATGGCACCATTGGCTTGGGGGGGGGGGGGGGAGCCTATGCCAAGCAAAGCTGAAAGACAGTGTTGGTGAGACGTTGGAAAACAAAGTAGCGAATGGTTGGCTTCTGTGCATGAAATTGGGCCGTGAAGCATCTTGTCCTTTATGTTAGATAGTAGAATGTCTTGGGTTGGTCCTGATCTTGCAGTAGGAAACACTAAAAAGAGTATCCTACAACCATCCTCTTGTGCAAGTAGCAAGTAGAACCCCTGAGGTAAGGTATGAAAGACCCAACTGTCTAACAAACTTTAGTAAACAGCTGTGGACCTCCACTCCTCAAGATGCATAATAATAATGGCCAGATTAGTTTTGCACCCAAGCAGAAAATCCCAGAAGCATCTATTCTCCCTGGCAGAAAAATTACATTGAAATACATTCAGAAATAGTTTGCTTTACTTTCTTGATAACCAGAATCAGTTTCCTGGAGGAAACCGGAGGGCTTTTAAAGTGAAGGGATGAAGGTGATGAAGGGCTTTTAAAGTGATAACCAGCACCTTTAATTGCACTCAGAAGTCCACTGGGAGCCAGTGAACCTCACAGAGATGAGGTGTTAACATGGATGAACTGAGGCATATCCATAACTACTTGTGTTGCTGAATTATAGGTGGTTTTCAAGAGCAGCCCCATGTAGAGCATGTTGTAGTAGTACACATGGAAGGTGACCAAAAGGTAAAGTGATGATGATCAGGTCTAGGAACAGGCACAGTTGGTAGAGATGAACCTTTGCCATGGCCCTTCCTGCCATGGCTGCCACCTGCTTCTTCAGCAGGATCTGGGAATCTAGAAAGATTCCCAAATTGCCCATCAGCTCTGCCTGGGGTAGGGATACCAGACATCTGGCAAAGGAGGGCATGTCCTCCTTTTTGTCCTCATGTCCTCCACCCAGCAGGCATAGCCTTAAAATCAAATATTGTCCAGCTTTTTGAGTATCTGACTGAGCAGCATTTCTCTGTGGCCCAGCACTTTCCTAGTAAGTGCTAACTGGTGAGATGGCTACACTGAACATAATAACCAGATGCTCTCTCCTAGTCTTTTTAATTAATGTTTTTATTATGGTATAATTTTTAAAGTTTGTTTTTTATGGTCTGTTTTTTATTGTATGCCACCCAGAGTCACATCCCTGAGATGGGCAGCTCTATAAAGGTGATGGCTGGCTGGCTGGCTGGCTGGCTGGCTG